TAATGCATTTTTTGTTATAATGGATATTCTTTTGTGACTCACTAACCTTTTTGTGAAAATAAAAATCTTTCTGCTACTTATTCCAAGAGAAAAATAATTAATATGAAAATGGTAAAACTACATTTATATGTGAAAAAGCTGTTAAAAGAGTAGTTATGCATGTTAGCATTAGATTTATGTTTCATTTCCATTATCTTTTTTAAACTATCCATCCAAAAATGTACCTACCCCTGAACCGTTTTAAAATAGGGGTGAGGTTTATTGTATCTAAGACAAGACATTTTATCTTATCTAAACTACAGCATCTTCTCTAAATGAATAATTTAGCCAATCTATATCAAGAGAGAATGCTGACCAGGGCCTGTTCTCTGTCCCTAAAGCTGGCTGGCTGGTACAGCCTGGCTTGTACATATAAAGTTATTTTCCCTTTCCAAAACTACCTACCACTTAAATAGGAACTGTCCGTACTGCCTACTAGGAATGTCCCCAGCTGGGATAAGCCCCAAACTGTGCTCAGGCATGATCAGGGATAGTGCTAGTTGGCCAAGGCCAAAACTGCAAGCAGCTTTGCTAAAAGTGTAACACAATGGACAATCTTACTCCAGTTCTCAGGCCAATACCCAGGTGCATTACTAGTATAGGTGTGGCCTTACACTGTCTCTGCATTCAATGAAGGAGTTACCCTAAGGTGATATTCCATCTTGATATACTAATCCACTCTATTGGATTAGTATTGGATTGGATTCTATGGATATAATAATCCATTCTATTGATATACAGGTGATATACCACCGTGGTTTAGTGGTCATGGTGGTATAAGGTCAACAGTTGGACTTGATGATCTCAGAGGTCTATTCCAACCTAGTGATTCTATGATTCTATGATCTTGCTTGTCTTACTTATGTGTTAGTATGGTATGAGTCAGTATCTGGAGATACCTTTTCCAGTTAAGTATAGGAAGTGCCTAGATGATTATACGATGTACTTCATATTTGGACAACTATAATTAACTGAGATGAATACCATCATAGATGCTATGGCCTAGATTCATCCTGCCTAACACTGGGAATCACATGTCTGATTTAAAGAACATACTGGATTCAAGTTCCCTACTTAGTCAATAGAAAACGATAAGCATGTCTAAAAGATATAGCCAGCCCAAGATCTGAACTGACCTCTACAAGTGCCTCTTCATCACTTTTGACTATAAAGAGAGACTAAGACAACCATAACTTAATTAACTTTGGTAGGTACTTCAGTCTAAAGGCAAGAAGGTTGAACATGGTCTGGTAAGCCCATTCCTGGGGCCCTGATTATGGACACTGACTGCACAGAATCTCAGATTTCATGTTTTTTTTAAATGGTCTAATTCTTGCCACTGCAGAGGGAAAAAAGATTTGGAAATATGGCTAAAGTGTAATCAATGTAGCAATGTTTGCCTGAGTCTGTAGGCAATATGAAGTAATAGCTCTGAAAAACTCATCTTATTTATCACAGTTAATCAAAGGGGAACTCTCTGGCATGCTGGATTCCTGTCCTCTATTAGATAAATGGAAAAAAATCTTAGCCAAATTTTGCTAGAGGAATTTTGTACCGTTTGAATTGCAATCACATCTTGTCAGCGGCGTTTGTTCCTGAAGAACTGATAGGAGCTACAATTACTGGAAGGAAGTTATTAAAAACCCCACATTTGTGAAACCTTACTCAATATCCTATTAATTTGGAAGACTTCATGTGAAATTGAAGAAAAAGTTATTTAAGTGAACAATTGGGAAACAGCACCAAATTGTACTACACACAGCATATAAACCCTGTGACACAGAGAAGTTGTTTATAAAAAAAACCCAAATCTTGTGTGTATGAAAAATGTATGTGTAAACTTATTCCTCCATCTGCCAGGAACGTTTTCAGCTTATTTTACCCTTTTCAACAGTGCAGTCTCTGCTGTGAATGCCAGTACCACTGTAATTACATTTTTTGGTACATTTCACTGAAAATTCCCCAAGGCAGCGCAGGATGTGGTTAAAATCAATTTAGATTCTGTTTTACAGTCCCTACATGAGAGAATTTGTTATTGCTTGCAATGTCCCCATTTGTTTAGGTGAGCCCAAAGGGCAAAAATCGCAACTGGTACATCTAGGCAGTCAACTAAAAGAGGACAAGAGAGCAAGCTCAAGCGTTAACCCCTTGTCTGTGCACACAGCTTAACTCTTTGGTTGCTGCTGACTCTCTCCTGTAGTTCTGGCTACTTCCTCCCAGACAATACTTTGGTGTAGTTCAGGGAATATTTTAGGAATGAGGAGCTTTCAAAGAAAGCACGGACAAGGCCTCACCAGGTTGGACTCTTAAGCTGCACAGTCCTGTAATGCTATCCCAGCTTCAGCCAAACTCACGACCTCTTCTCCCTCTCAACATAGGCAATACACAACCCGAATGTCATCCTACAGAGGTGCTGCTCAGGGGCCCTGCACATAAAAGCTCTCATGTTGTTTTGGATGCCTTGAAGAATTGGAAAACCTGTAGAAAAGTAACTGTTGTAATTATGTCTCAGGGCCACCACACAGAGCCTAGAGGAACCAAGAGCCAAATATTATGAACTATTGTTGAAGTCAGCGGGTACCATCTGACCTTAGGCAAGGGGTGGGCCCTTGGCAGTCTTTTATATAGTGCTCTAGACATACTAATAAGATCTACACATCATAAATACTGCAGATGTTACTTTTAACCAAATTCAATTTGTCAGGTTTTTTTACCTTAATTTCCAGATTGTTTTTTGCCTTCCTTTTTTCACAATGCAATTTGCATAAACAAAATTGAGCTTTTTCTTCATTGTTAATGGAATTGCAGGTGTAAGTAATAGTAACTGAACAGCTGATTTGTGTTGAACATTCAGTCAAATGCAGGTACGAAAATGTTGATATAAATTGCTGCCAAAGCTGAGTGTGTGCTGTGAAAGCTTACCCATATGCATATCTTCCTTTAGTATAGCTCATTCATGTCCAAACATTTAGCAGGTCTATATGATTTCTGAATAATAACAGAAAGGAAAATAGTGGCTTGTTTAATTTGCCTTTCCGATTTTTAATTGTTTGATTTACATGTCATTTAATGCTAATTACCTGGATTTCATTCAAAATTCCTTTTGACAAGCCAAAGGTGATGGTAAATCTGAGAATCTGGATAAGTAAAAAACTCTGGAAAATTGTTGGATGGGTGCTGGTATCAGTTCGTAGTGTCTTTCATCCCACTGCACTTTCATGCTCAAAGTGTTTGGTGTTGACGTACGTAGCATATCCTGCTAAGAGTGTAACAAAGATATTGTATAGTTACTTTACTCTTCAATATAGCCCCTAAAGGAGACTGCAGTGAAAAATGTTGATATATAGCGGTGCACTATAATGTACTAAACAATATTAATTTAAAACTATCCTGTAGTGAGACCCCTTGAACTTTCTCAAAGGGTTTGATCTTTTCGGTCACCACAAAATTATTCTGGGCAGTTGGCCAGTACCTAAATAAACTGTGTGTACATCAGTAGCAAATCTTTTAATTTCGAACATGGTTGATCTCAGCCTGTTAGGAAAACTGTCAACTAAAATGAAAGAGTTAGAGCATTGCAGTAATTTTTTCATAATCATTTAATTTCACTGAAATATTTACAGAGCGTTAAAAGTGCCTTTACTTCACACTTGCCTCACAGACCATATGAAAACTGCATCTTTCACTCTTTATATGCTGGCTCTTCTTCCATAATCGGAATTGAATGAATAGAGAGCAAAACAAAAGGTTAGGAAAGGTAGGTCTTATCCCTTTGGCTTTGGTTAACTCTGTTTATCTTTCCGCATGTTCTCACCAAAGTGTCAATGTCTTAGAAACTCAATGACTGTGTTAAATTTGAGCTTTCAGTTTGCTTTGCAAAACATTATTTTTGAGGATGTTTCTGTCTCTAAATGCAAATTAAGAGCTACTCACCTTAGTTAGCCCTCCTAACTGTTCGAGTGATCTTGTTCACATTACCAGACCCCAGAGCACTTCCATGTTCCAGGCTGTCAGCTCCCACCTAAGTCCATAATGAGACCTCTGCATGTGCAGACACTTCTCACATCCTGCCTCCACAGAAGAGATGTAGGCTGGAGGGCAGGCGTGCCACTGCCCTGCATTCACCTGAAGATCGTAAGTGCACTGTGGCATGTCTCTTCTGGTGAACATAGGGAGAGACTGTGGGAACGCGGGTGTCCTAATCAGGTCCTGCTGCTTGTCTCAGTCCAGTGCTTTAATGCTTTTTCAGTAACTCCAGTCACTGCTATGAAAGAAGTTGCAGTATGCACTTTAAAAGAACTCACTCTTTTCACCCTGATCACACTTGCAGTGATTAATATCTGGATGACTATAGTACTACAGTGTTTTAAGATAAAAAGATTAAGAACCACCATTTATTGTGTTACTCTGATCCTCAGGTTCTCCATAACACTGTGTACAGTGTGGCTCAAGTACTGTAATATAGCATATTTGTTTAAAATGTTTAATGTCGACACTTTCATTTCTGAAACATGGATGAGAAAGCTTTAGTAGCCGGCAGAGGTGGGATGGTTTGTGAATACTTTTGTGGTGTGGCTCAGTTGGCCTGGTGGGAGGCTGCTCTCTGCAGCAGGGCGTTGACTGCTTTTCTGACCATCCCAGAAGAATTGTCTGACCACAGCCAGGTTGCATCTGTGTTAGAAAGCTATCCTGCCCCTTTTTCTCACCAGTCATTACCTGCTCTCTCTTTTATTGTCCCTCCCTCTATCCCAGTCTTCCACTTTCACCACCATTCATGCTACTGTATGTATTTAGGACAACAGGTTCTCTTCAGTTTTAAGGGCCCAGATCTTAATTATGATAAAGCTGCTTTTAGCAATCACATTTTTGTAAGGAAGCGTTGAAGTCACAAAAAAATTTACAGGTGAAGCTGCATTAAGTAGTATGAATGAGATCATACCACATAACACCTGAGCTGCGCCATGGGAAAGAATCAGTACAATGAAGCAGTGTCTGCTGCTGCTGCATTTACAGTGCGTGCAGTTCGGAGAGTTTTGCTTCGGAAGAGATTTGGTCTCACACTGGACTACATGACCCATCACACATGGGGTTTGGTGCCTGGAGTACATTTGTATGTAACAAGGTGGAGCTTGTGGTTTTGTTTCCTCTAAGAAGAATCTGTTTTGCTTACCAACAGAGCCCATAAACTAAACCAGCAAGCAGCAAGTGTTGATGGTTGAGGGATCCACCTCAAACAGATTAAAACCAAGTGGAGACATGGCCATAATGCCTTTCTGGGAGACAAAAACCCCACAAATATTCACCAATAAGTCTACCTTTCTCACAGCTGTCTTTTGTATTGATCTAAGACAAGTATGTGAACAGATCAGGGAGAGCTTGGATTTCAGGGACCTGTATCTGAACATATTATTCAAGCTACCATTGGAAACCCAAATTCAGATTTCCTCTCTGCCACTCCTCTTTTTGTACTATTTGGATAAGTTCTTCTGATCTTGGTTCGGAGCAGACAGTTGTACTGTATGTATTGTGCCATTAAATCTGCCTCTGTGAACTCAAGCACCATGGAGAAATAGTGGAAATAGTAGACATAAATTCCTACTATGGCTTTACAACCATAAATGGTTTTTACTGTTCTGGTGGCCACAAGAGAATTTAGCCAGGCCAGGCTGACAAAATGTTGGTGAGCTGTTCCCAGTAGGCTCTTTGGGGCTGGAGATCGAGGGCCATGCAGAGCAAATCAGGTCAGTGTGCATTTCCTTGCCAACAGTTATAATAATAAGTAATAATAATAAAAAAATCGTACAGAAAACATCCTGATATTTTGTTTGGGTTTTAGCTGTTACTTGAAACGTTCTGCAACAACATTGCCAGATTTCAACATAAGCCTGTACCTTTAAAAATAAATGAGTTTGTTATGTGTTAAAGAAAGTTGAAATGTAAAGGTTTTAAGCTATACAAAATAGCATGTGTGTCATGTGGAGCAACAATTACACCCTAAGTGTATAGAGAAGAACTCAGTGGAGCTAAATGGCTCGTGCTCCCCAATAAGTAATATTATCACAGCATGAGTAATCGGAGATATCCTACAGAAGTGCTTTGACTTTAGGTTATTTTAAAGCCTATCTTGAATCATTCTTCTGTTTAGAGAGGGGATATTGCTGTCCCCTTGCATACTTTTTTGAACTGTACACTTTCCTGCTTCCAAGCTCTCCCTGATCTGTTCTGCACTGAGACTTCAGACAACGTTGCAATCTATCGTATGCTTGCTATTCTGTATAGACTGACTTCTGCGAACAGGAGTTCATAGCTGTAAGAGAAATTGTTTGTCCATGCCAAAATCTGCATATTTATGCAATGAGTTCTTGTTAAAAAACAAACTAGCAGAAATGGAAACCTTTTTTCCCCTCTAAAAATTACCCCTTCCCAAAGCTTTTCAACAGTACAATGTTGAAAAAAGCCCAGTTAGATTATCCAACTCATTTCTTTGTCAGTGAGGGATTTCTTTCTGCAGTGCTCTGGCATTTCAAGGGTTCTGTCTAGGCTGAATTTGCAATGATGAGACACTTCCCTCCAGAGACCTCGCTGAACACTCAGAGATTTCCCTGTAAGGATAGTAATCTATATTCGCAGCCTAAAAATTCCCTTTCTTAATATCATCCTCTCATTCCTATATTTAATGTACTCTATTATATTCTTGAAATAATTTGTTTTCAAATATTTCTTACATAAATTTACATTGTCTCCCCTCTCCTTACTTTATTATCAGTTATGGTAGTTGTAGCATAAATGTTGGGCCCCTTTACCCTTTCTCTCGTTTTTATTCCCTTGCCCCAGTTGGTTTATGTAGTTCTCCCCTGGTTTTCATGACTCTCTTCTGCACTACTTTGGCTTGTCAGTGTGAGACTGATAAAATGGGTTTTAGAAGTGAGTGCATATCCAAATATGATCTCTTCAAAGCAGCACAGAGCAGAGCTGTGGCCTTCTATACCATTTTCTAAAACTATATAATGCCTAACCAACAGAGACTGGTTGTGAGCATAGCCTTTGGCTGGTAATGTAATTGGTGCGCAAATTGCCCTTTGGAGCTGTGCTGAAGTACAAGTTCTTGTTTAGTTTCTGCTCTTATTCTAGATATTTTCAGTCTCTTATTTCCTGCCCCTATTTCTTGTCCTTTTCCTTGTCCAACATGGTATTTGCAACTCTTAACATTTTAATATCAAGTAAATTTTGTTAATGTCATAATTTATTCCTTTTAAAGATCATTAATAAAGCAATTAAATAGGACTGGACATAATACAGATTTATGCAATATTGCCCTTCTATTCAGACTCAGTGCTTTACCATTAATCATTAGTCTTTGTAGCTCTTCAAACAGTTTTCAGTCCACATGACAACTGATATCCAACCGAATAGGAATTGATTTTCAGTTTAAGCTGTCCTATGGCTGGAAGTGGTGATGTTGCTGATAGCATGACAGTGCAGTCAAGCAGTTGTTCTTCTATAACATGCTGTGGGAGCGTACATTTCACTAGGCAGTGCAAATGAGAATTAAAACTCCATTCGACTTCCTGGGCAACTGCCCCTAGTAAAAATCTATAGCTGATGTCTATCAGCAGTATTCTCTGCAGGCGGTGATGGTGAAAATCTGTTTTAAAATGTAAGTTTTTAAGCCTTTACTCACAAGCAGGTGGGAGAAGGAGAACTGAAATAATCTCAGATGTGTGCTTATTGCAATAGTACGCAATCCACATACTACTTAAAATAAATGTAAAAATTAATTTCACTGATTCTATGACCTGGTATTTTGTTGCAATGACACAACTGAATTGCTACATAAGGTAATCAGAATTCAGGGATCCTATCTCCATATCCTGTCTTTTTTATCTTATATCTGTCCATATAGGTAGATGTATCTGCCTTTTCTGTATTTAGTTGTGTGATATTCAGTGGAATAACTGTTTGTGGGTACTTACAAATGCATCATTCATTATGTGATTTTCTGCAGCTCAGTATCAGAATAGATGGTGTAGATGGATTTTTTTTATTAGTTATAATACTCATCTAAATGTAATTTTCCTGTTATTTTCATGTTCTGAGAACTGGATTTCTTTAAAATTCCTCCCTTTTAAAATGCTATGTTCTATTTGAATATCGAAGAATTGTCAGCATATACAGAAAGATGTGCCTAATGAGAAAAGATCCCGAGTGTTTATTTGCTTGATAAAGTGCTAGGGTTCTGTGAAGAAAACATAGAAATAAGCATATTGAATAGGACACTAATATGCTTCATATTTTAAAATCAAAATTATTATCAATCCTCCCGTTTTATGACTTTCAGTTAAAGGCATGATATTGTTAGGTATTTGTCATCTTCTAGTACAAGCAGACCAATAAACTCATGAGTATCAAATCTACCCTCTGTAGTTCTTTGCTGCCATCTTCTGTTTCTTTAAATGATTGCCGTTATTATTTGAATTCTGAAAAACAAGTCTGGGATATTACAGAGCAAAATTTCCCTTTCTGTCATTTTTTTCATTGTTTTCAGCTAAAGCAAAGTGAAGCAAATGCGGATACAAAGGAGAAGCTTCCATTGCGTCTACGCATCTTTGAAAAATTTCCAAACAGGCCACAAATGGTGAAAATCTCCAAGCTTCCTTCAGATTTCACAGTTCCAAAAATAAGGTACTGAAGTACTTCCTTTGCTAGTATGCTGTAAACTTGTCTGGTGCCACGTAGCACCCAAAATATTTAACTATTTTGCTTGTAGATTAGGCAGATAGTTCAGAAAAATCAGAAATGAAACAGAATTAATATTGGTACTAAAGGATGTGACATTTTGGGTTTACCTTATTTTTACTTTTGAAAACAAAAGAAATAATCCTAGCGCTACTTATAACGTATTCATGAAAGCAGCTAGATTGACTGGAATGGACACAAGTACAATATGATTGAAAAGTGTGGTGTTGTTTCTATACTCCCATTTGGATTTTAGATTCTTGGCTGACATAGACAACTAGCAGTCTAATCAATTCTCATGTAGCTTTTTAAAGATGTCAACTGGCAGCAAATCGTTAGAGGGGGTAACACAGGCCATCCAATATCAGTTACTCTGTGATGACCTTGTCCCCTCTTTGTATTGCATAGTTACACTTCCCTGTAAAACTTGCCTTAACAAAGGATCAAACCCTCAATTGGCTACTAGATCATCAGTTACAGTACAATTATTCTTGGTGTGGTCCCCAAAAAAAGCATAGAGAAACCCAGGGGCTTCTCTAGCACATACAGGCTGCTGAGACTGCTGAAACTGCACAGGCTGGCCAAACAGGTCCTTTGGCCATGCCCATTCCAGTATCCCCACAGACCACATAGCAGGAGAGAGGATGGTGTGAAAGATGTCTGTCATTGTTCTGGGTCTCCTCAGGTTACGTTTCTTTTGATGAAATGCATTAGGAAGCTAAGGCAACTGGTTTGACCTGTTTGTATCATCTTAGCTGAATGAAAGGAATAATGCTGATCAGAAGGGTCAGGAAAAACAACCTTCCAAATCTCAAGGAAGCAGTCATAGGTGTTTTGCTTTTGATGTCAAAATACTGTTTGTTTATATAACGAGGGCTTTCTTCTCCTAGTGTTAGTCTTTTTTCGTATTTCTTTCTAGCTGTGTTTTTCCTAGTGTACTCTACACTAATACTAGATCATGCTAACTACTGAAACGGACCTCAGACTATCACTAGCAAATCATATCTTTAAATCTGAAGCTGTTACGCTATGTAGAACTATCTCTCAAAAAAAATAGTTTTCACAGTCAATTTACACTGAAAATAGGGCAACTCTACTAAACTTAAAATACAGCAAGATAAATGTGCATTTGCTGTAAACAGAAATGCTTCAACATTTTAAACATGCCATATGTGAGGTACAGAATTGCTGAAGTGCCTTAATACTGGCATTCAGAGCAGTTACACGAACAGATGTTGTTTGAAATCTTCAGGAAAGAATTTCTTGCAAAGAGTACGTTTCCTTTGGATTATATCAGCAATTGATTTATATTGAAGTAGCAACTCACTGTTTAATGAGCTCAAAAGAGCTGACAACTGCAAAAGGCACTTCAGTTATTTAGCACCTTGACTGGTAAATAAATAATAAATATTAAAAGGAATAAAATTATTTTCTTCAAAACCACATGCAAGGCACCCACCTCGCAATTCAGTTATGGATTTCTTTAAAAAGTGAATTGAAGTTTTATCGGTTGTTTCAGCACTCTGTCCGTTTATAAATCTATAGCCCAGTACCATTTTTTCTTGCAGTTTGTCCATTTTAGCAGTAATGGGTTGTGACATTCATAAAGAAACCCAAATATTAGCTCTTCATGGGGTTTTAATCCATAAATATCTTCTATTTGTTCACAAGGGAAAGTTTTATGAAGCAGTTTATTGATCGCCAGCAACAAGATACCAGCTGTTTGCTGCGAAGGCTTCCTTCAGCATCTTCTTCCTCGTGTGACCACTCTAAAAGATCAGCAATTGAAGAAAACAAATATATTGATCAAAAGGTAAATCAAGAGTATAGGGCAGTCTATGTCTTTCCTTGAGTATTGTGAGGAAAGACCTCAGATTATTCAGTTTGTCAAACCACATAACAATGAACACAAGCTAGGGTGACTGAGCACAGGCTAAAAGGCTGTATTTAATTTAGCCTAAACCAGACATTACAGCCAATCCTTGTTTGGTTTAAATTGTCTCCTTTGACTTCAAAATTCAGGATTTAATACATTATTTTGTTGTTCAATGCACTCTTCTTATGAAGCTATTTTTTTAAGCAGTCTTGCTGTTAATCACTGTGGAGCTAGTGGAAAATTAAAGTTTGTGAATATTACACTGGATTTTGAGTGCCTTGCTACTGTTACCATGTTGAAAATGCACTTCACTGAAGCAAAGTCTCTGTGTAATCATTGGAGATGAGTAAAAATTTAAGAATTATTCTAATTATTTAAAGGACATTAACCTCTTTTTAGGCCTGGGAATCACTAGAAAATAGATGCTGAACACATCTATTTGATAGCCGTTGTAAATGCTGCTAGTCTCCCAGCCGGACTGACATGGATGGTTGGATTTGAAAAATATCAGGACTCCTTGTAATGTTGATGATGATGCAGCGTAAGTAAATGTGTGTGGCTTCTGGCACCTTGCAAAACTACAGGGGCAGAAAAAATCTTCATGTGCATCATGGAAGATACTGGTTTCCCAGATTTCTAGTGGCGTCTACACTGATACCACTTCTTGATCACTTGTAATGTTGTATAACTTATTAGTGACCTTTTAACACACGAAAGAAAAGTCCTTTCAGTATTCACAACAGTGTGCTCGAATCCTGTTCGAGTATTAACATCAGGGGTTTGTAAATACATTTTAATTTAGAGAAGCACAAAGAAAAGGAAGAGGGTACATATTGCAGTTACACAGTGTAACTCTGGCTTTCCTAGTGTGTGGTTTGCAGCTATAACTCAGGACTGCATTTGTACAGGCAGGAAGCAGAGTCAGGGAAAACAATATTCTTCTGATAATGAATAAGAAGAGACAGTTTGCCAGCTACTGTTAATTTCCATCCCCATTTCAGTGCAAGAACCCATTGCTGTGGCTGATGTATTCTATGGCATCAGTAAGCCAAAGCTGAACAGCATGGCCTGAGAGGGAGGTCTGTGGTAAAATATTGTTTATCAGACAAGGAAGGCCATAGGAAGGAACCAAGTCTAAATGGACATCATCTACTCTAACAAGCACAGCAGAAAAATTGGATAAGTTATTAAATGACAAGCCCAGGGTCAGCAGAACTATGCCAAATATTGCTAATGATGGATCTCAAACACTGCCAGGGGAATCAGACTACATTTCTACCAAGTAATTAAGAGATGAACAGAGACCTTAAACTTGTCCCAGCCACACAGATAAGCCCACAGGATGCAATGCAGGCTGTGCAATGATTGAGTAGGTCTGTTTACGTGAATATAGTTTAGGTATATTAAATTGCAATCTTAATTCCTTCTGCCCACTGTTCACAAAAGTGAATTGTGATTCTGTTTTAAGACAGATGAATACATGGCACAGTTTATTCAATGAGATCTTGCAATATGGAAACAGAATGCTGCATTCTTTTCAGATTTTCACTTCCCTCCAAGAGCAAATATGCATGATCTGAATTCCATTTCTAAATTGAAATAAGTGTTTGCAAATTGGTTTTGCACTATTCAACCTGCTTTAAGCACATACTTTTGGATTCCCATACCTCAAGGGCAGAATCAATGATGAGTAATATTTCTGATAAATGTAGCTTAAAACAAGGTATTTACACATTCCTATTAAGAGCGAGAAAGCACTAGGAAGGATTTTGTGTAAGTAATTACTCTGGCTTCCTATAGTTACAGTTGCCAAGGCAACATCACTTCTGCATGAATAAATCTTTGTAAAAATATCTTATCCTTAAAACAAGCTTGTAATGACTGGTTGCCCTTAAATATAAACCTTACCTGCACACTTTACTTTTCTTTGTAAAAAAAAAAGAAACCTGACCAAACATTTTACTGATCCCAGTGCCTAGTAGGCTGCATTCCCACTGCTCCTGATAGCAGTGCAATGGCTTCAGAAAGTTTTCGTATCTTTTTTGCAGTATAGTTGATGAAAAAAGGTTAGATTCTGCTGACAGATTTGACTCTGTCCTTCCTTTGTGGGGACTGAACTGTGCCTAGTTCCTCCAGTTTCTGCTGCACTTATGTCGGTATTTCCGCATTCCACACCTGCTGAAATGATAGGAAGTACGTAATACATACATTCCCTTATTTCCACTTCAGCAACACTCTTTTTTTCTCTCTAATAATCTACCACTACATATATATGGTGTTGGTTTTGTGTTCAAAATCAATCTGACCCATAATTTGTGATGATCAATAAAGCAAATTGGATTTTGTTCTTTTACATAATGGGTTGAGTAATTTTTTCAGTATTATAATTACCTACTTACTTGAAAAGATTGTTTAAGTTGTAAAAGAGGAGTAGACTATCATTGCATTCTGTGTTTTTTATGATATTTTACCTTCTCAAAATCGTTGGAAAAAGTATTTATTCATATATATTACCATAACCATGATGACAATCAGTGTGAAATTATTTTTGCCTATGCCAAATCAAAAGAACAGCTTTGGAAAATATATCTCTCTGCGATACTCCCTTTTTCTAGGAAAGTCTGTGAGTTCCAGAAGTTTTTCTAACTCTTCCAAATTTCTAAACTATTATCAAAGTAATAAGCTAAGCAAACACTAATATAAAAAATTACTTTTAGATACCTAAATGCCTTTTTCCTTTTATACATCCCCTAAAAGTTCACTTTCAATATGTGGGGTCTGAGTGTACGTGTGGAGACAGAGTGTGACATGTTCATTCTCTTAGATCAAATGCCAGCAACACCTGGGCTATCTCAGTTACGGATGCTTGATAGGCAGCTTAGAACGATGCTTTGGTTGGGTTCTTTATGATTGTCTGTAACTTTGTGTGCAAAACTGGTGTTCTCTAAACTTAACACTGCTGGAAATGCAGGATGGTCATTTTTTGCTGTCTGCTTGAGGTCCTGCTGAGTAAATTTTCTTAAACCCATTGATCTTGCCACAGACCTACTCCACTGCGTGCTGAGCTAGTCTATCCTAATGTGGTCTGCAGGCTATGAGTTGAAGAGCTCTGGGTCTAATTAGAGAAATCAGGCCTGTCCAAGTTGGTGACAGTACCCCTGTTTTAGTAGAAAGTACCATAAAGATACTTTTTAAGAAGGAAGACCACTCAGAAAAATACAGGTATAAGGAGACAGTGCTGTTGTAAAATTAATGGGAGGAAAGGGTTAATGAAAAGAGGGAGCTATGGTATTAAATGAACATTGTAGATGTGGGAGAAAGGGAATTTTAAAGACAGAGAGGGAAGCATTCTTTCATACTTCCACATTTGTATGAAAATTATTCACAGTAAGCTGGGAATTTCCTTAGCTATCCAATGTTTCAGTAAATTCTTGGACAGGAGAACTGGATGAAGTATGGAAACAATTTTTGTGTGAGTGGGTGGATGAGGAGAAAGGAAGTTGGCAGAGAATAAGGACATCTCACTGTGTTGGCTTTCACAAGAGCCTGACGGATAGTCACAGCAAGTTTCAGGGGACAAAGAACTAAATGAGCTGTAAGATTTACAACAAATCAGGTGTCCAGTAAAACACAGCTGGGTTGGCTGCAGAGCATTGGTCTTGGCTTCTTAACTTCAAGATTAGAATCAGAGGAGCACAGAAACACCTCAGAGTGCTTTCCTAAGAGACATACAACTTTCTGCAAGCCCTGAGGAAAATTGTTGTGAGGAGGACACCTCTGAGCTGTTACTTATCTTTGGCCACACAACAGAACACATTGCTGTTAAATTAAAGTTCAAAACTGACAGGCTCATGAGATGGACTTTGAAAATGCATATGGCTCAGTAGGTACAGATATCCATGTGCATGTTTACAGCAGTGACACAGCAGGAGTGCATTACAAAAAAAAGCAAAAGAGTATTTAATATATCCATGTATTTTATAGTTCTGACTTTAGGCATCTCCCATTTAATCGAAGGAATATAAACAAGCCAGCTCCCGTATTTCTGCATTTGTAAGATTAATTGGATAGTAGCAAACGTATTTTCTCTTTTCTATCCTCTTTATCATCCTGTTTCCTTCCTGTTTCATTTCACATGTATGAGGTTTGTTTTTAGCTCTGCAAGCAGTGAAGTTAGTCAACATTCCTTTTTCCTGTGGGAGCAAGATCCATCATTAAGGTCTAACTCCTGTGAAAGCTCGACCTCCCATGCCATATGCCTCTCCTACTGATTTCCTACTTACAGCAGAATGTACCTGTATGACAGGAGGTCATGGTCAGAAAGTGAGAGCTGAGCTCAGAGGCAGCCAGAGCCATTACCATGGAGGTCTATGAATATTAAGCAGCAAACCTTATGCTGGATTCTGTGTGCTTTGAGGAGTTGGAGCACCAAGGTGATATGTTCGTGATGACCTATGTTGCCTTGCAGGTGGGCTGGTGAGCTTTGCACCCACTTTTTTTTAAGGCTATTTGCCTTCATTCCCAGATACAATCCTGCTGATATCCATTAAAGTTAGATGAGATGGAACACAAGCATCAATCCAACTATAAGCCTCATCCTGGAAAGGTTTCAGTACTTCCTTGGAGTTCAACACCCTTTGGTTTATGTAGAAATCATTGCCTCTTGACACCTCAGGGAATGTTTATGATTTTATCTGTTTACAATTTCACACACAAATTCAACACACAGAATTGCCTGCAACTTTTTATACGTTTCGTTAGCATCAGAGATACTTCATTTGTGAGCTGCTGAGACATACCACATATTCTTGATAAGAAGTTGTTGTTTAATCTGGCAGTTTGTTCCAGCATGTCTTTTTCTGATCTGTGCTCAGCTTCTTTCATTAACGATTCAGTTTCTTGCGAAAAGAACCACATATATTCTGAGAGTATTCTGA